GGCGGTTTTTTTTTTTAATCAATGCCATGTCATTGTCCAATCATCGTCTTTTGTTAACGGGCCACAAAAATGAAACGGAAAAATGATGTTTTCTAACGTCATCCTTAACAGAAGGGGTGATTTGCGGATTTCATGTAGTAGAAGGGCTGATTTGCCAATGTTTCTTGTACAGGGGCTGAATTGCCACAACATTGCAGGTACAGGGGCTGAATTGCACCTTCTGCCATTTCGGAATATGATATATATATATAAAAGGACATGAGCTAATCGTTCACACTTGAATAGTAGTACTGGGGAGGATTGGAATATATCGTCGAGAGATTGAGAAGGGAATGCAACAGGGAATATCTTTTAGGGGTGGCTGAGTATTAATTGTCTTGATCATCTTATCTCCTTCGCTTCCTTTTCACTCATTGCATATATAATTGAGGCAGCGGGGATTTGTATGGCTACCTTGATTGCAAGAGCGTTTGGTTCCATAATTTCTGCCATTGCATACTGTGTGTTCGGCTATCAGCGACACCACCATAAGGAGGAGAAGACACACATCAATTACTACAACATGCCCAAGGGTCGGCCTCTTTCTTTGCAGGTTTGATTTCTTCATGCCAAAAAACTATATATTATTGATTTGGTTCAGCTGGGTAGCCTTGTTTTTGCTATAGCCACCATCCTTCTCTATTTTCCAATTCGAAACTTACCAAGGTATGCTTGTTTTCGCCATAGCTTTCAACAGATGTGGAACTCTCTCTGCCTCCTTTCTTTGCAATTAGCTAGTGATCATATAAATCATCTGCTATTATATATGCTTAAGCTTAGTTCAATTTTTATTGAAAAACAAATTTGCCAACCCAAGCATGGGAAATTTTCCTTTTGATTAGAGATTAAAGTTTTTTGGACTGCGATACAAGTCTAGTGATTGGTTTTTGATATTGTTTTGGACCTTCCTTTTTTTTTTTTCCTTTTTTTTTTTGTAACAAATCAAGTTGATTTTGTATGTATCATTCATAGTAAATATGAAGAGTTTTTAATTTAAATAAATTAGAGTACATATCAATCTATACATAAAAAGACAAAAATACCTTTACTAACCTTTATGTGGATGTTGCAACATAAACTCCACAATACATCTGCACATCCATAGCGAATGTTAAAAGTGAAAGATATTTTTGAGTGGATACTTAGGACTTAAGGAATTAATATCTCAACTTTAATTTGTCCATTGATGTTAATCTCTTTGAACCATCAAGAATTGTGCGAATTTTACATTATTAAAATAATCCAAGTGAAAAAGGTGAAAAGGCTATATATGTTGTTCCCGATCTAAGTGTTCCCAAGAATCTGCCAAAATGCAACTAGTTTAATGTAGACGAGACAATGGCTTTTCTTAATCCCTTTGGTTTCCTCTAATTGCCTAAAGTGATAAGGCTTCCCATAGACCAAAGGAACAAAGGAATAATGAGAAAGACACATCAAAACATCAAGACAGAATCCTTAGCATCTCTCTGACCCCATAACGTGATTACTTTGCAGACCGTGGAGCTCAAAGTAAGGATGTGCTGCACTGGTTGCGAGAGAATTGTCAAAAACGCCATTTACAAGCTTAGAGGTTTATTTAATTACATGGATTGCTTTATTTTTATTTTTATTTTTATTTTTTTTGATATATTGAGAATTAATTGTTTAAGATAGTTTGAATCTTTGACCGCAAATTCAATTTTTATTTTTACATAAATTATATTTCATATGTATAACTTTAATTAATTAATTTTAAATTTTTTTGAAAAATTTCTAAATTAGTAATTAGAGAATTTTGAAAGAAATATATAAAAATTTTAAGTTGTATTAGGGATTGATTCGGTTGACGTGGACCTACCGATGGAAAAGGTGACGGTGGTTGGGTATGTAGACCGGAACAAGGTGCTGAAGGCAGTGAGGAGGGCGGGAAAGAGGGCGGAATTCTGGCCGTACCCCAACCCCCCACTGTACTTTACATCCACCACTAACTATTTCAAGGACACAACCAGTGAATTCAAGGAGAGCTACAACTATTACCGGCATGGCTACAACCTTGGAGACAGGCACGGCAACATTCCGGTGACTTCCAGGGGAGACGACAAGGTCAGCAACATGTTCAACGACGACAACGTCAATGCCTGCTGCCTCATGTAATTAAATAAATTAAGTAAATAAATAAATGATTAACCATGTACCATGTCATGCATTGCATGTGTAATATACATAAAATGCATATTCTGAAGTGTAATGTTCGAAATGAATGAAGGTGAAGGGTTCGCCAATGTCTTTAATTTCTTGATTTAATGGTAGATACTTATGGTATCTGTTCTGTGCTGATATATATATATATATATACACTAAATAACTAGTAACATGGAATGAGCGAACGACTATATAGAGAATATGCACTAAATTAATGGATGTTATGATAAGAGGATTTATGCCAATGTCTCTCATCGTCAGCCCTTGCGGCTAATTAGATGCCTGAGTAAATCCAGTGCTGATGGAATCCAGTGCTGGTAATGTTTAAAGAAAATGAATAATAAGTTTATTAAAATATTTTTTTATTATTTATATTATATCAAATTATAAAATATTTTTTTGGTACAACTAAATAGGTTACATAAGAGAAAATATCTCTCTTTTCCTTAAATTTCTTTCAACTTGATTTAAGATTTTTATTAAAAGTTTCATCCACAGTAGACGGCAACTTAGACTTTGGGGCGGGAGAATGCTAGCGTGCATTGAGTGCTTCAACATTCGGGCCCATGTCGTGCACGTAATAGGTAGCACTCTTGAGTGTGAGATTTCAGGAAGGAAAGATTTATTATTTACTGCGTGATTTCAATTTTAGTATAATTAAAATTTTTAATTAAATAGAGATATAATATTTAATTAATAAAATTTTATAATATTTCTTTTTTAATTAATTATTATTTAAATAACTTAATTAATATTTAATATGAATTATAATTATTTTTAAAATAAAAATAAAATACAAATAAATACAAAAAAAGTAGACAATTAAATTTAAATATTTAAATTAAAAATTACATCTATTAAGATTAAAAAAAAATACAATATTATACAATCAATTATCAAAATAAATAATGTATAATTTTGGCCAAATAGAAAAGAAAATGTATAGTTGACTCCCCAATAAAAGAATTTGAAATCGCAATTCCATAGAAACTTATTTATATATTTTGTTATTGGGAGGACTATGTTAGTAGTTAATAATTATTTTTATGCTTTTTAATTTTTTATAGAAAATATCAATTAAAATATTAATTGAATTACAATATATTAATATTTTTAATAGATTGTTATAGGCAAAGACAATGCAAATATGTAAAATCCCACACAACTTAATTGGGTCTCGGGCAAATTTGTAATATTCTTCATTCATGTATGCAAAAAAATAAAAATGGGAGGATAGTTCTCTTTGGTATATATTTTTAATAAAAAAGTCTTTATTTGAATTTAGAAATGTAACCTTAAATACTACTAGGAATATACCAAAAAAAAAAAAAAAAGTTGTGATCTTTCCTTCTCAAACCCTCACTATTCATATTAAAATTTGAATTTTTGATTTTCAATTACATATTCTTAGATAACGCAAAAACTTGTCTTAACTTCTTCTCTTGTACTTTCCCTTTTTTTATTTCAAAAATTAAAATATCTATTTTTTTGATAAATAAATATCTACATATTTAACTATATCTTCTATTCAACTTGAATAGATTTAAATTTAAATTTTAGCAGTTTAAATTTAATTATTTATTTTTTTAAATATATTATTTAATATATTTAATATTTATTTTAATTAATATTTTATATATTTTTAAAGTATTAAAAAATATATAAAATCAAATTATATATCAATCATCTTTTTCATATATACATATATATGTATACACACATTAACGAGGGTTAATTAGAGTAGAAAACAGGAGAGGAATAAGCCATTAGAGTATAGAGGGCTGTGATCAAGTCATTTTCTGGGAAAACTGTTGAGGTTCAGAGCAGATTATAATTACATGAAGTTGATGGCGTATAGGGGATTACTCTGAGATATCGTTGGTTGTCTCTTCTCTGTTACCACAGTCCCAAGAAACGGCAGCCCTGACTTTATGTGGTACTGCTGAAGGGTCCCTCTCTTTGCTGCTGCCCTTCCCATATAGATTCTAGATGGCTATATATGTTTTCATTGAATTGTTAAAGGGACTCAACAACCTAAAAGGAAAGCCCCTACACTACACACTGCAGGGTTTATACATCTTGTGTTTTGATGATTGATGATGCCATGCATAAATGAAGATATGTATATTACGACTTGACAGTGGCATTGTCCTTGTAAAGGGATGACAACTTGGAAAGCCTAACTGCAATTAGGCTTTCCCTAGTAAAACCACAACACCTCAATGCCTGCTTTCTTTTGACAGTTGAATTGAAATTGGGAATTGGGAAATTTGGTCTTCTTCTACTTATACCATACTATACTCCGACCAAAGAACTAAAAATTTTTTAAACAAAAAGGATATACAAATTATAGAAAACCCTAAGCCATTAATAGTGGAACCTTTTTGCATTATGTTGAGAGTATATAACTCCATCTAGGCAACAGTTTCAACATGATCTGTTCTCATTGATGATGAGTGTATAGTTTTTTTTTTTTTTTTTTT